TATCAGAATCTTTTTTTTTTTTTTAACTGCTACTTTGTATAAAAAGATTGTGAAGACATCAAATTATCTGAAAGAAATCTCATGGCCGGTCATCTCTGTAAATCTAATTGGTTCTGGTTAGTACAGTCTGTGTGTGCATCTTTTTAAAACTAGAAGAGACAGCTTTTCAGATAACAATGTCATTTTTATTAGGCAATCACATAGTAAATGCAGTGTCCTACATCTAACCATGTATTTTATTGTAATATAAAGTTTCAGATGTTCTCTAGCCAGTTTTGCAGCTGGGTGGGAAAAAATTAACATTCCATTCTAATTCCTGCAAGTTATTCCCTCTCTAAAGTAAGAAATATATTTTTACCCTTTCCATATAATATGCAGAGCCTTAACTATTATCATTTGTCATAAAATTAAATAGATCTCCTTTTCAGAATTTGCAGTAATATTTGATAATCATCATTCAGAACAGTGACTAGAATAATAGATAGCTCTTTTCCTGAGAACTTCTGTACTTTTCTTCCTGCATTTTAATTTCTATGCTGAGTTGCAGATAGGAAACTTCTAAACAGTTCCTTCCTGATTGACTATTAATGAAAGGAGTTTAGAGAAAGGAGAGTTTATCAGACATTTGTCTGCAAAAAGTGGCTCCTGAATTATACCAGATGTACTGTTAGATTGCACTAGTCTCGATTTCTGGTGTGATAGATCCTTGAAAATGATCATTAACTTTTCACTTCTAGTTTCTTTCTTTTATATGCAGATGCAGAAATTTAAAAGGCAATGTTTGAATTCAAAATCCAAATCTGCTTTATTCATCTTAGATCTATTAGTGCAAATAACAAAAAAAAGCTTTCATGGACTTAAGTATTCTTTATACAAAGTGTATTATGTATTGATTTCTTATGAATATAGTGAAAGATGCCTAATAGTGAGAATTATATCCATGCCAGGTATTAACTATCATTGCTTAATAATAGGATTTAGTTAGATTATGTTAGCATCTTTCTGTTTCTGTCAGGTGAAATTGCAGTAGTTGAACCTATAAAAAATTTTAAGGAATATAACTCATGTGATTTCCTATGTTATTAATAGAGTCAAAGGAAAGATTTGGGGGAAAAGACTCATAAAGTGAGGAGGAAGGAAAAAGAATAAATTTCCAAAATCATGCAGATTATTGTGCTCTGATAATTCTTTCGGAATTTAAGCTTTGCTTAGTAAAGATGCTAGCTTACTCATAATCTAATAGGGTACCTATTTCATAGTTGAATTACTTTAAAAAAAAAAAAACACTGAATGACAGGGTGGCAGCACTCAGTAAGAAACCAGTGTGTTTTCTGTCTATATTTTGTTGCATTTAAGGCCTTTTCAAATAATATAATTAACTCTGCTTTCTCTGCTGTTTAATCTGCCTATTCTAATTTCCATGTGCTATTTCTTGAGTTAGTAGACCCACCACCACAGTAAAGACGGGCATGAAGAATAAAATGTTTTACTGTGCTCTCGCTTGCATGAAGCTTTTTGTGTATTTAAATTGTATAAGCTCACCCCCATTCCAATTGTTATTTTATCTGTCTCCAGATGTAAGGTTCTAAGCAGTGTTGGAGAGATTTCATCAGTTGAGAACAGATAGTTGATGAGTGTTCTCTGGCGAAGCTTCAACCCTTTTCCATATCTTAACAAGACTCCTTTCTATAATAAATACCTAAAATATATTCAGAAGCCTGAGTACTCAAGAAAATTGTTGTTACAGTGTTCACCACATTTTGTTGTTTTGTGTGACAGTCATGCTATTATTGTAAATTGTTTCCTTTTAATATCTCAGCTTTCCCCTTCCCCTGTCTCCCTCTGTTACCAGAACTGACAGATTGAGAAACACTGGGCAGCCTTAAGAGCATTATTAAAATGAAGACTATAAACTGTACTCTATTAGAAAACTTGGAGCTTCTTTGATCATATTGAATCATCACTCTTTGCAAATAGGAAGAAGAAGGCACCTATGATCAAACCATCGAGTTCCGTAGAGGAGGTGATGGCCAGCCACGACGATCCACTCGGCCAACCCAGCAGTTTTACCAACCTCCTCGGGCTCGGAACTAAATACAAAGGTAAATATGATATTGTAAGATAGTTTCCATGTACAAAAAATGCACTTCACATTCAGTACAAGTTCAGTTACTGATGTTTTATAAGAAAATCCTTAGAAAAACACTGATTATGTAATACAATCTTAAATTGCAAAGTATTTGATATTATAATATAGTTGCGTGCTTCTTTTTTTAAAAAATATTTATTATTTTTATTTTATGTATATGAGTATATTGCTCACATGTAGGTGAATGCACCTGTGTTGTGCAATGCTGCGGAAGTCAGAAGAGGGCTTTGGAGTCCCCTGAAACTGGAGTTAAGGACGATTTGTAGCTGCCAAGTGGGTGCTGGGAATCAAACCCATGTCCTCTGCAAGAGCAGTCAGTGCTCTTAACCGCTGAGCCATCTCTCCAGCCCCACATGCTTCTTTTCCACCAATCTTTTCCCCACAAATGCTTCTAGAAGTCCTCTCTTCAATAGTCTTCTAACGGAGGTGATGCCATAAGTGAAATAATTATAAGTTTGAAGGCACAAAATCAAGAAAGATGACAGAAGATCAGATAATCACCAGCCTGGATAATTGAGTATTTCTTTTCTTACTGCTTCATATAATTCAAAGTGTTTTGATTTTAAAAACTATTTTATTTATTTTTTTTATTTTATGTATGTGAGTGTAT